TCAACCATCTCGTTTTCTCTCTCGTTCACATCTTTTCTCTGTTCTCTCTCTCTCACTCTGCTTATAAATGAAAAATAATAGCAGTCAAAGGGGGAGGAATAAAAAGAATGAGAAAGAAGACATGCGTGCAGGGGAAAGGAGTAGAGCAAAGAAGATTAAGAAATCACAGGCAGCGCGCTGTGCCGAGTGAGAGGTTGAATGCATTTATGTATGTATGTTATCAGTATAATTATGGCGCTATGTAGCGACAGCTCGGTGCTGAAAGAGCAGTCTTATTGTGCCTGTCTGCTTTTCAGATGAGTACGGAGAGGGAAGGGGCAGAGTCTCGGTTTTTATCAATGCTTTGTGCTTTTAGGTGTTTATAAAAATTTATATAAAGAGAAAAAGACTTGTTTCTTTTTGTATTTTCACAATCGCGCTGACATGAATAGTGTGTCATGACATGGCTAAACACAAAGAGCAGTAGTCAGATTTAAGTATTGGCTCTTCTGTTTAAATTTGTTACATAAAGGAGATTTTCTTTGGCACTTACTTCTGGCCATTTGGTAGATTTTTGTTCATTCCAATGTAAGAGAATTATTGAAATGTCCTAAAAACTCATGGCAGGAGCAAATAAAATGAGTTTTTTGTATTGCATGACTTACGTATAACAAAAGACAACTTCTGTGTCTGCTAATTATCTTCGCACTACATCAACAACACTTTAGATTTCATGATTTTACTTTTACTTTATTTTTTATTTTTGCTTAATTGTAAGATATTAGTCAGAAGCAAATTTACTCACCAAAGTACCGTAGATAAACAGTGGTGTGACACATACAACGCACAAATTTTTTTTTTTTCTAAAGAGACAAACATTTTTTTTTACATTAAGAACAAACAGTTAATCCATTTAAGATGACATTTTAGGAATAGTGCCCATGATAAAACTGACCACACATATGTGCTGGTGACACCAGGTACATATGACACTGTTTCACAGTCAAAGCAGCTCTTTAGTTTCTGCAGACATCACATATTGAGCAGGCCTATTCACTGTACATGTCTCTTACTGTGGCAGAACACACACACACACAACAGAAAGATTACCACCTTCCCTTGTCTCCATTTCCAGCTCGATCCCTGTCATTTCCTCTTTCTCTTCGTTCTATATCTTTTTCATTTCTGACTTTTTGAGGGAAATCACGTTGACTCATGAAAGAGAGATAAACGTGTGCAGGCATGGAAAGAGACACAGACTGGAATGATGTGTACGAAAGAAAGAGACAGATTTTTTTCTGTGTTCTGAAGGAAGGTGGGTCACTTTGACAAGCTGTCATGGCAGCCGGAGCAGCGGCCGGACAACTGCCAGGGACAAACATACAATCATCATATTAGAGCAACTGCTCTGTCCCACTTTGTGTCTTGGTGCTGTTTGCTCTGTGTCTGTGTGCACTCACACTCTTTTATTATATACAATCTTTGTGGGACTGTCTCACTAGATGGCAGCCATAAACACAAACCGCTCCTCAAACAACCCTGAACTGTTTTCGTCCCCCCCTCTCCTCAGTGGACTGTGAGAAGCTGGGAGCTGAACAGGATCACAATGGACAGTCTGTGTGTGACTATACCAAATCAGAGGGTTAGATAACACTCAGTTTATTTATAACCCATATGATGTTGCCAGTTACACCAGTGAGTAAAAGTATTATTGTAACAAATAAAAATGATGGTCAAACAACGCAAGTATCAGCTTACAGTTTTGAATTTTGGGGTGAAACAAATTAAAAAAAGATAAAATAAGCAACAACATTTGGAGCTTAAATTTGATTCAGACATGCATTTGATTGCACCTTGACAAACTGCAGTGCATGTAGGTACAGTACAGAGTGAGGAAGCCTCTCACTGCCCTGATAATATTTTAAAAAGCAGATTCTCATGGAAAAAGTAATAAAAATGAAAATAGGAGAACAAGAGCAGACAGAAGAAACACAGAAGAAAAAGAAGTGGTAGCATTATAGACAGAGAAGGGAGAAGTGCTGACAACGTAGCTACCCCAGGTTGGCTAATACCTTTCCATCATACCAAGCATTGTGCTCTCGACGCTGATAAGAACACACAGTCCAATAAGCAAAAAGAAAAAGAAGAGCGAGTGAGGGAGAGAAATCCTTACACAGTTCTATCTAGATGATACAAGCAATGCTTTGGAAGAGAGGGAAAGTGAAGAAGGAGAGGAAGACAGAAAAGAAAAGAGACTGAATTAAAGAGTACCGAGGGTAATAGGAGCAAAAAAATGTTTTCTCCCTTTGCTCCATTTCTCTGTCAATATGACCCCTTTTCAACATCCTCCTGTTTGTGGAGGGTTGTTGAACTGTTCGTTGGCTTGTTAGTCCAGATGAGCTGGAGAATGTGCAAACACACACACGCACACACACACGTAACTTGGCTTGTTAGCTGCACATGTCCATTCACAAGGAGTACATTACCACTGTCATTAAAGGATTACAGTGAGGACACACTGGCTGAACTATTGGACTGGTGCAGAGAAAAACACCAACGCACACAAAAGCACACTCAAACGAGCATAAACAATAGTTCTGTATGTGCTCTGTTTTTGC